TTGGAAAGTGATGGAACAGCATCAGTGATAAAACTTGGCTACTGGAAATTCTTTTCCCAGTGACCATTTTTTAAAAGAGTGGTTCATATGATAGTAACTTAACATTTTATTATTTGTTTACATTTTATGTGTATAAATGAGTGTTTTGCCTGCATGTACCTAAGTACACCTGTGCCATGCAACGCCCACAGAGGCCAGAAGAGGGTGTGGGATCTTCAGGAACTGAGGAGTTAAGGATGGTTGTTAGCCACCATGTGGGTGCTGGGAACTGAACTTGGGTCCTCTTTAAGAGCAGACAGTGCTTTTAACCACTGAGCCATCTCATTAACTCCTAATAGTAACTTATTTTAGCCGGGCATGGTAGCGCATGCCTTTAATCCCAGCACTGGGGAGGCAGAGGCAGGCGGATCTCTGTGAGTTCAAGGACAGACTGGTCTACATAGTGAATTCCAGGACAGCTGGGGCTACAGGGAGACCCTGTCTCAAAAAGACCAAAAAAAAAAAAATTTTTAATATCCTAAACAAGTAGTATAGCTGACACTGTTCCTAGAAATAGAGAAGAAACTCAATGACTTCTACAGTTTAGACTTCTAGATTTGCTCTGGAAATGATGGTTTTAGGATGACTGAGAGAGAAAGAGACTTTATAGTTGTGAGGTAGAAGCTTTAATGACACAAATAACGAACACTTTCCTGAATTCCAAATGTTCTGATCAAAATGAGATTGATGTTTTCATAACCAAGGATCAAATATCACAGCTACCTATCCATCCGTTCATCCATCCATCCATCCATCCATCCCTCCATCCATCCATCCCTCCATCCATCCGTTTATTCTCTCACTCCCTTCATTCTTCCCTTCCTTTCTTCTGCATATACAATGAATGTCAAGTTTGCAACTAGAAAAGGTACAGGTAAGATTTTTGTCTCCCAGAGATTACTGTCTAGGGGGGAAAAATAGAAAAATGATCTATGATGCTGGGTGTGGTGGCATACACCTTTAATCCCAGCACTTGCAAGGCGGAGACAGGTGGATCTCTGTGGTTCAAGCCCAGCCTGGTCTGCATAGTGAGTTCCAGGACAGCTGGGGCTACAAAGAGACCCTGTCTCGAAAAAAAAAAAAAAAAAAAAAACCAAAAAAAAAAAAAAGAAAAATGAGCTATACACTATAAATATATAAATATATAGCTATACACTATATATAAATATATATAAAATATAAATATGATACAAATTCTTTCAATAAAATAAAGTAGAATGGTAAAGTGGGAGGTTACAAATAGGCTTACAGGACAGCTGAAAAGAACAGAGAAACAAGAGATACGAACTGAGAAAGACAAGTTAAGCACTGTTCCAGCTGTGTGGTTTGGAGCTTCGTCTAAAGGCAATCCAGTGGCCCTGGTGAGAAGATGTGAGGGCAAGACCATGATAAACAGACAGGGCCACCACTGACTGATATAAAGGGCACACCTGCCACTTCTTGGTCTGAGACTAAGGCCTGGGGGCTTCCCCACATTCAGCCAGCAGGGCCCCTTTTCTGGCTGACTGGTCTAGACCAGTTCAGATAAGTCCAAGGCAGGACCTGGACATATCTCACTCAACTTGGAGCTGTGACCTAGAGGCTCTCTTCTTTGTTTAAGTCAGCCAATCTAAAATTAGGGGAAGAGAACCTGCCCCAGACCAGCAAAACCTGTAAAAGGCCAAAGCCCTTCTGGGGGCTTTGGATTTTTCAGTTTCTAAATCCCATCTTCACTTGTGGAAAGCTTTGCTCTGTGTGTGTGTATGTGTGTGATTCTTTACTTTAATAAAGCTTGTTACCTGTTTTTTACTTCTGTGTCCGAGATTGTTTTGTGCCTTTAAATTCTTTAATTGGCAGAGAAAATGAACCTGATCAAAGTCCCTGAATGGTAGCAAAGAGAATAGCAATTCTTCACACAGGACAAGCCTATAGGTTACACGAGCCTCAGATCCAGATGTGGCTCTAGCTGACACAATGACTTTCATGATGTGATAGGTCAGCACTGAGGTGGGGGTGGATTCAGTGGAGGGTTGTGGTTGTGGCTGCCATTTTTTTCTTTTTAGTTAAACTTTTTAGTTTACAGTTTTATTCTTTGAAAATGTCATATATATAATGCATTGTTTTGAAGAAATTTGATTTATTTATTTTTATTTTACGTATGAGTGTTATGCCTGAATGCATGCAAGTACACCCACATCATGTAGTACCTGTGGAGGACAGAAGAGGGCATCAGATCCCCTGGAACTGGAGCTATGGATGGTTGTTAGCTGCCATGTGGCTGCTGGGATTCAAACCTGGGTCTTCTGCAAGGACAGTCAGTGCTTTTAACTGCTGAGCCATCTCTCCAGCCCATACAATGCATTTTAATTATATCTGCCACCATTCTCTCTCCAAGTTCTCCAAGACCCCTTCCCAATATATCTCCCTTCCACCTTCAAGTCCTCTTTTTAATAGCCCACTGAGTCCAATCAGTGCTGATCATAGCTGTGAGGTTATCCACTGGGGCATGAACAACCTGCCAGGAGCCTTCCCATCAAAGAAAAGTGCAACTCTGTTGCAGCCATTGACTACCAATAGCTCCTCAGCCAGGGGTGAGCCCTTGGGAACCTCTCCTGCCTCCATGCTGGGATTTTTAATTGGCTTGTTCTTGTGCAGGTCTTGTTCAAGAGTAGTGAGTTTGTGTGTAGCAGCATGCCATATCCAGAGTTGTAGTGAGTTTGTGTGTAGCAGCATGCCATATCCAGAGTTGTAGTGAGTTTGTGTGTAGCAGCATGCCATATCCAGAGGATAGCATTTCACAGCATTCCTCCCCAGACGGAACCTAGTGCTTAAAATTGAGCTGGCTGGAGGCATGATAACGGGGAACAGAAACAACCACAAGTCAGGGTTAAATTCAATCTGCCACAGCCCTAGGATGAGAAAAATCTCTGGGAGATAGTTGTGGAAGAAGAGAAGGCCAGGTACCAGCAAGCCAAAATGCAAACAGCTGGGGCTTGGGACCCAGTAATGAAGTAGAGAAAGAAAGGTTGCCCTGACCTCAGTACCTGAGAGCAGACCTCATCAACTGAATTTGACAGCTTGGTGTTTGAGGTCAACAGGTGGATCAACCTCTGGAGCCATGCATGTGCCATGAGGTTCACTGAGCTGTAGCGTTAAACTCTGAAACTCCAGCAGACTATTTGACATACACAGCCACATCCTCCTATCTGCAGCACAGGTTTATTTTGTGGTAGTTTAGATAGGTCTGCTTATATATATCATGGTGATGGGGTGATGTCTCACACTCCCCATACACTAAGACTGAAGTTTATAGCTGAGTGCTTACATAAAAAACCCAGAACTAGCTCAAATAATCACTTAAAAATGCACCTCAGTTTCCTAGAATAGCAAGAATAATCCACTCTAAAGCAGCAGCTGCCAATAAATAATAAAGGTCAAAGCAGAAACTAATAAAATGGAGACTAAGAGAACAAGGCATAGAATCACTCAAACAAAAAGTTGATTTGAAAATATAAACACAGTCGACAAACCCCTAGCCAAACTACCCAAAAGAAAGCGAAGACCTGTCTTAGTTTGCTTCTCCACTGCTGTGATAAAAACATTGACCAAGGGGGTTGGAGAGATGGTTCAGTGGTTAAGAGCACTGGCTGCTCTTTGCAGAGGGCCCAGCACCCACAGGGGATCCGATGTCCTCTTCTGACCTCTGCAGGCTTTTGCACTAGCATCCATGCAGGAACACACTCATACACATAAAAAATGAAGACAATAAATAAAATATTAAAAAACTTGGATAGCTACATTTAAAATAATGAAACTAGGTACATATTTCTCATTCTGTAAAAAAAAAATCACTTCAAAATGGGTCAGATACTATGATGTAGGACCTGAAACTGAAACAGCCTGAAAGAATAACATGCAAGCATATCAGGACATAGCCACAGGCAAGGTCTTTGTGAAAAGGATTTCAGCAGCACAGGAAATGGCTCCAAGACAAATAAGATTTCATATAATTAAAAATTTTCTCCACAGAACTACCCAGACCAACAACTCAAAGGGAGGTTTCTTTTGTTACGTAGCCTTCAGCTATACATGTGCACTTGTATATTTGCTGTATATATATTTTTTAGTAGGACTTTGAACTAGTAGATTTTCCCTCTGGTTTTTCATACCATTTAACTTTTATTTATCTCTCCTCTCATTCCCCCTGTATAACCCTCCCTACTCCCTGTCCATTTCCCCCTTATAACTCCCACCTGTCCTCAGGCAAGAAATCCTAATTAAACTCAGTGGGTCACACATAAAAAGAAGATATGAAAGGAGGAGGTGGACTTGCTGAAAAGAAGGGCTCTAGTGGGACAGGGAGGGGGATGGCAGGATAGGAATGTGGGTGGGAAGAGCTAAAAGCAGTTATATGGATGTATGAAACTGTCAAACAAAAACTTTTTGCAATTTTTAGTTTTTTTTTTTGTGTATGAGTGCATATTTGTAAGTGCTCTCATGTCCTGCAATGCAGAAGAGGGTATTGGATTCCCCTGGAACCGGAGTTACAAACGGTTGTCAGCTGCATTGTGCATGCTGGGAATCGAACCCAGGTTCTCTGCAAGAGCAGCCAGTGCTTTTAACTGCTGAGCCCTTGGTCAGAGAATTTTAAAGCCCTGAATATGTCCAGGAAGCTTCTATTTGCATGTTTGTAATTTTAGTGAAATTATCAGTATTCATGATCTATGTCTTCTTATTTCAGAAGCAATTATTCCATCTTATATCAATTAACAGTTGTTATAATGTCAGTGTCATCAGTACTCTTTCCTAAGCTCTGTGTAATGCCTGGCTTCTCACTTTTGTGGTTACTGTAACTGCTCTCCTCTCCTCATAGTATCTAGCTCACTGCTCTAAATGCAGCGACCTTAGACAAACGCTGCTGAGTTTTAACTAAGAAAGATAATAACGTTCAAACATAAGAAAGTGAAAATTGTAGGCCTTACCATTCAAGATGATTTTCTACAAATGCAGACATGGGGCTGATCTGCACCGTGTACGTATCATTTGCAGAGTACTCAAAGAGTCCATAGTAAGGGTTGAAGAGCTCCTGAGACAAAAGGAAGAAGAACTCTCTAGAAGGACCACTATAGTCCAGGCTGTAAAGGAAGCACAGGGGCAGGAGTTTATTTCGTGATGGTTTGTTACCCAGGATCTATTGAGCTCTTTCAGATGGAGCTTGTAGGGAGCAGATGACAGACTTTCATCTTAATGTGGACTTCAAGTGGAAGTATCAATTTAAAGTTGAAAAAATAAAAATGTAATAATGGGCTTGGTTTTTTTTTTTTTTAACAAGTTGTTAGTGGACTCTTATGGCACTGGACTTAACCCTTTTTCCCCATTTAAATCATCACATATCTATAGGATCAAACACACATCTGGCACATTGTAAGCAAGGCCTGGTTGTGGGAGGCATAAGAAAAAAATGTGTGTGCATGCATGTGCATGTGTGCATATGTGTGTATACATGAGTGAACCAAAAGAGCTTACAAGTCCATTTTCATATGCCTGCCTATGAAGTTGCACTGCACACTTACGTGACTCATGAAATCACAAAAACACTTTGGTATAATGTATATGTGCACTTTGGAAGATTCTCAGAAATGCACACCACTTACAAAGTAAATATACAGTTGCTTTGCTTAGTACTTTCTTTTTAACTTATATTTTGGCCATGGAATCTTCTTTTTTTTTTCTTTTTTTTTTGTCTTTTGGAGACAGGGTCTCCCTGTAGCTGTAGTTAACCTGGAACTCACTATGTAGACCAGGCTGTCCTCAATCTCACAAAGATCTGCCTGCCTCTGCCTCCTGAGTACTGGGAGTAAAGGTGTGCACCACCATGCCCAGCTTTGGCCATGGAATCTTAGACTTTAGGAAATGCCCATAAGCTTAGGTTGTTTAATGAGCATTAAACCTAAGGCCCTGGGAGAATATGCTCAGAGCGGCCTGAGGCTAATGGTTTGTAGCCACCAAACTCTTTCCTGAGAAATTTCCCCTGATTCTAGGGGTCTGATCTTCCCACCCTGAGATAAATGTCTGTATACAACTCTTGTTCCTCACCCCTCTTCTCCAACAAAGGTGATGTAGAGCTTGTTTCTCTGGAGCTCCTTTCGGGAATAGGCCATCACCTGATTGAAGGTCCCCTCCAACAAGTGGTCTCGACGAATAATGAGCCTGAGAATGAAAGTGCTGGTCAGTGGAGGCTCTGTAGTCAGGGCACCGAACACTGTTGAAAGTGAGTTGTGAGTGCTTATGATTATAGCTCAGTCCTCTGATTCTCCAGGATATAAGCTCTATGTTTTCAGTGCTGGGCATGACACTTCAAAATATTGATAGGAGAGGAAAACATGTATGCTTATCATCAGACATAGTCCATCTTACTTAAAGATGATTTTTTTTTTTATCAACTTGTGTCATGTCTCTTGGGTAAGGAGGTATCTTAAGTTATGCTTTTGAGTTTGGACTCAGCTTTTCAAATAAGAAAATAATAAATCCATTAAAAAGCCTCTTTTTACTTGGACTCCCAATGCAAAGATGCAAAGGGTCCACAAATTTGAATAATGAATAAAATTTGCCTCAAGAATAAGTAAAGGGAAGTAAAAAGTTTTTCATTCAGTTTAGGCTTCTTTGTTTTCTGAAAAGATCTACTATTAACATCACATTTACATTTGTCTGAAATCCATAGTTCTTCTCTTTTTCCTCCCTGTTCCCGTCTTCTTACCCACTTCCTGTCATTTTCCTCCCTTTCCTGTCTTCTTACCCACTTCCTGTCCCTTCCTTCCATTGCTTGAATGCCTTTCTTCTTCCAGCTTTCTAACTTATCTCTTTCTCCTCAGACCATAAGTGTCACCACACGAGGATGACCCACGTTCAAAAAGTATTATAGTTAGAAAAAGAGAATGGATGAGAAGGGCTATCCCTTGAGTCCAGGACTGAGCTCTAGAGCACTCACTTAATTTTACCCGGACCCTGACCAAATCCTTTGGCTTCCAGTTTTCTGTAGAAATTTCGGAGCTTAGCTTCAAAATCTCTCCGGTATGGTGAAGGGGCTCTTGCACTGGCTCTCTGTAAACCTGCAGAAAGAGGCACATAGGTCCATGTCATCACTTTTCATCCAAGAACAAATATTCAGAGTGGTAGTAGAGCAAGTGCTCACTGGAGGCATGTTTCTGAGGTTCCTTCATTGCTGTCACTCCCTTAAATATTTTTATATTAAAAAGAAGCAAAAAAGTTTTAGATTTTTTTAAATTGAATTTTTGTACAACATAATTTGATGGTATTTAAATCCTCTCTCCCATCCTCACCTTCCCCGCCCAATTCAATGTACTCCACTACTCCACTACATACACAATATGATCTATAGAGTCTGGTTTGTGTCCCCATAAAACTTCAAAAAAATAGTAAATAGTAAAGGGAGAAACAAATTTTGATGGAATGTTTATGTCTTCCATTTTAATAATTTGAAGTTGTGTTTCTCTTAAAAGTACCTCCAGGAGGGGTTGGAGAGCTCACCCAGCAGTTAAGAGCACTGGCTGCTCTTGCAGAGGAACTGGATTTGGTTTCCAGGACCCACATGGTGGCTAACAACTGTCTGTAACTCCAGTTCCAGGGGATCTGACATCACACCCTCTTCTGGCTTACACAGGCATTGTATAAAACAGGTGCAATTACATACATGCAGGCAAAACACTCATACAAATAAAAAAAATAAATAGGTAAAATTTTTTGAAAAGTACCTCCGTGAACATTATTTTGACTTGGGTGATTTGAAATGATTAACATAAAATGAACTAAATCAAACTCTTTTCTTGTAAGTGACTGAATCTATAATGAGGCATTGTGTCTGTCACATTTCTGTATAATACTGAGGCTGAAAGAAAAGAAACATGCTTACGTACTATGACTCAAAGCAGTTAGCAATTTATATTAGATCGTAGCTTTTAAAAATATTTTATTATTTTTATTTTTGTATGTATGAATGTATTTCCTGCATGCTTGTAAGTATACCAGTGTCATGCAGTGCTGGCGGAGAACAGAACAGTGTCGAATTCCCCCGGAACTGGAGTTACAGACTGTTGTCAGCCACCATGTGGGTGCTGGGAATCGAATCTGGGTTCTCTGCAAGAGCAATCAGTGCTCTAACTGCTGAACCATCTCTCTAGTCCCAGATCACAGTTTCTTAAACTTTGTAACTTAATGTGGAGGCTGTGAAAAATTTGGGGACAGTTCAAGGTTTCTGAACACACAATAACCAAAAGTTAAATCAAAATCAGATGAATGCAAGGTGCGTCTGGCAACATCCTCCTGTGTCGCATTGCACGAGCTCTCTGCAGCCTTGGTTCCATGCATACAACACGCACACTTTGCACTGTGCGTGCATTTATGCTATGTGATGCAAATGCTGCCTGAAACTCCTCAGCTTAGATGTGAGAGAATTGTACCCTATGAAATGCAGTGTTTTTACTGTACAAAGTTTTTCCTCTTATAGAAACCTAAGAATTTAATTACAGAAAACAGGACTTTAAAGTATTTCCCTACTGCCAATCCTCAGCATAGAAATATAAAATTGACATATCTTTGGATTGTAGTTTGTTAGAATACTTGATTTTAAAAATTACTTTTTGGGCTGCCGACTTGAGTTTCATAAAACAAATCATTAAATGCATTTGAGTTTAGGATTACGACAGAATTCTCAGTAATTTCTGAAATAGCCCTAAATATACTTCTGCAAATGCATTTATACAAAGCAACATTCTTAGAAGTGACAATTATAAAATCAAAATATTGGGCAATTCTGAAAAACACTGAAGATTTGATATCTGCAGTATCAATTAGTGAAGATTTAATTCTTCATGTAAAAATAAACAAGTACATTCGTATAATTAGTATGAAAATTTGCTTTTATCTTCAATAAATGTTAAAATTATATGTATATAGAATTGTTTTAAAATAAAAACTTATTTTTATTTTATGATCTATTCTCTTTATGATTTATTCTCAAGAAATGTTTGATTTGCATACATTTTTTTGGC